GAGACAGCTCATTCGGACTCATAAAGCAGAGTCACATTTCAAAGATAATTTTTATAATGCCTCATTAGTGGAAAACACGAATTCCAAGCCAACTTCTGCCCTTGTGTCCTTAAAAAATCATTGTGACAGGTACTTTCAGACATTCAGCCCCTACCTTAACTCTGCCAGTGACCTTGCAATTTTCCAAGAAAACTTACCTTCCTGTCACAGATTTTTTTTCATCCTGAGCCAAAAATGGCTGAGTCCGATTTGCCAATCTTAGTCCTGCAGGCACCCAAATAAGTTTTAACCCCTTTACACACAACTGACCCTCAGATTACCTGCTGATGATAATATCTGTGGTAGTACCTGTGACTGGACTAATGTACCATGCTTTTATGCTGGAAAAACTCATTTTGTATGCCGTATTGATATACAGTGATTAAATGTCAAACCAGTCATAATAATAACGTTTTTTTAAAAGAAACACAAAAACAGATACATGTCAATGACTACCCTGGCCACACCCACCCCCTCTCCCCTCAGCCATTTCCTAAGGGCGTAACCTGAAGCCCCTATACTCTCCAGTCACTTTCTCACCAGTCAGTGAAGTGAGGCAGGAACTCTGAAATGTAAGGGTCCTCACCAGAGCAGCAGAGCCCTGGGACTATCTGCTCCCTCATTCTGGAACCATCTCCCTGTTTAGAAAGCCAAATAGCACGTCAGCTGACTTGGGGATACTGGCTTTTCCGGCTTGCGCTCCGTTGTCTCGTAGCTGTGTTAAGTATATATTTTTTTATTCAGCTGTACGTTTTAAGAAATATCTATCAGGGCCTGCTAATGTACAGTACTGGAGAGACCAAGATGAATCAGACCTGGTTCCTGCCCTCGAGAAGCTCCAGGCTATGGAGGGAACCCAATTCAAAGCTGGCCCATTTCATAAACCGTCTGTGAAAAATCTTGCACTCTTGGTTTTCTGGGCTCTGTTTTCCTCATTTTAAGCTCGAAAGAAAAAAAAAAGAGAAAGCAGCTTTCCCTCTTCCACTGCTGCGGCCTCCTCCTTCTGCCGCTCCTGCTGCTGCCTGGGTGCTCCACCGGGGAGGACCTGGCACCTCTTCTGTGAAGCGGCAGCTGAGGAGGCTCCAGCTCTCGCCAAGGCTGATGAGAAGCCCAAGCAAGGAGTCAAGACTGAGAACAACGATCATGAAGGGGGCAGGCAGGATGGGCCTGTGGTACAGTTTAAGATTAAGGGGCACACACCACTTAGTAAATGAATGAAGCCTATGATGAACAATGGGATTTGTCAATGAGGCAGATCCGGTTCCAGTTTCATTGGCAGCAGCCAATCAACAGAACGAACACACCACGGACACACCTGCCCGGTTGGAAATGGAGGTGAAGAGACAACTGATCTGTTCCAACAGCAGAGGTGTCTACCAAAAAGAAAACCTGCTACTTTTACTCCAGAACGCTGTTCTTAGGATCAAGAACACATTCTCAATTAGAAAATCACAACTTGGAGAACCAGCAGATAATGTAATGTTTACCTCACTGGACTCCCACATAGTCGACCGCAGTTCAAGTCCCGAGCCTGGCAACTTAAACCTCATGCCAGGCATGTGTGCATGCATGCTCAAAATCCCGAGAGGAAAAGGGATTGTGGTGTGACCATCCTCTCTGGGGGGTGATTTCTCGCTTTTTGTCTCTCTTTGTCTGTCTGGCGAGTACACGTACCCTACAGCAAAAATGTCTGAAAAAAAAAAGAGAAAAACCACAATTTGGTTTCACCACATCTTGACTACTACAGTATAGTTTTCTCTATTCATTCATTTTCCCTTCCCCATTCCTTTATTGGGCATAAAGTTACTGGTGTAAACGGGGGAAAAAGGGAGAGAGACAAAGTAAATGTCTCAGATCATCCTTTTGGCAGTAACAATTGAGTCGGGCATTTTCTTCTTGCTAATCCAGGGTGTTTGTGGGTCCTCACTTCATTCCAAATGCCCCCTTTCTTCTATTAGAGCTCACCATATTTTCACGTGTAGCAGCGAGGTAGCTGTGCACTGACAGAAAACCTAGCAAGTCAGGAACGTGTGTTACTCCAGTGACTTTGAAGCTAACTGACTACATATCATTAAACTAATCACATAACTTCCCTATACTTCAACTTCCACTTCTGTAAAATGGGGCAGGTGGCTTGGATTACCGCAGGCCTGTGTGCGCAGTGAGAGCTCCCCAGAGACAGCATCACACCTTATTCTTCTTGATAGTCACCATCTAGAAAACTGGGCACACGTTAGACATGCAAATGTTGGCTGAGTTTATGTGTGTGTAAGTGACTACTGTGAGCGCAACATGGATCATAGATTAACTGAATCCACGTGGGATCCAAGTCATCGTGAATCCATTAACCAATATTTTCAAATGTCTTCCACATACACTATAGAATGAGGAAACTAGACCAGCCCGTAGCCTGGTGGTTAAGGCCGCTGGATGACACATGGCCGACCTCACAGTTGGAGCCCAGACCTGGACTGAGAAACACCCTGGGCATGTGTGCATATTACCCGAAATCCTGAGAGCGGGAGATGGAAGAGAAGGGACTATGGCTTGATCATGCCCCGGAGGGTGGAGGTGCTTTTTCTCTTTGTGTGTGTGTGTGTGTGTGTGTGTGTGTGTGTGTGTGTGTGCCCAGCAAGCATACATGCCCTGTAGCAAAAAAAAGAAAAAGAAAAAAGAAAAAAAGAATGAGGAAACCAAATAATTATGACACAATAGTGATTCTTCCCTTATCTCTTTCCCGGGAGAGTACCTTTTAAGTTACTCTATTGACATAAATAATATTCTCAAAATGGATCATAAGAAGTTGTCAATATATTTTTGGAGAGGTTTTTGCTATAGGGAGTATGCACTCACCAGACAGACAGAGAGAGACAGAGAGATAGAAAGCAAGAAATCACCCCCCAGGGGGGATGGCCATGCCACAGTCCCTTCTTCTCCATTCTCCTCTCGGGATCCTGGGCACGCACGCACACACACACACACACACGCCTGGCGTGAGTTTAAACCACCAGGTCCAGGAGGGGAACTGCAGTCGACTACATGGGAGTCCAGCGACATAGCCATTACGCCAGCTACTGGTCCCAGAAGTTGTCAATATTACCAAGAGAAAAGTCCACTTGTCTTGGGCTTATTTACGAAGGGATCTGAGGCCCCCTTGTCATATACCAGATACAACACTCCATCCCAAGTCCATGGAGAAAAAAATCATATTACGTTAACTGACAGGAAGCCAGGACCAGAAGAAGAGAGAGGTAAACAGACTGAGAGGGGCCCTGATGAACAGTGTGGGCTGATGGAAAACTTGACGGGAAAAGTAAAACATCCCTGGCTCCTTGTGTATTTACCAGTAAAATTTTCTTTCTGCCAGTAGGCTGCACTTTTCACACACTTTCTACTACAGCAAGCTTAAGGGATTACAAAATTACCATTCGATTCAATAAGCATTTGTACAGTAGTACTCCCCAAATGACAGGCCCTACGGAAGTCCAGGTAATATAAAAATGAACAATAAACAGCCCCTGCCCTCAAAGATTCCCCCCCTCCAATTAGCTCGAGAGAATACTCCTGCATGCTGCTTCTCTGCACTGCCTTCGTCTCTGCCCTTCTCCAGCCCAAATCCTACCCAACCCTGCAAGCCCAAGCTCAAGATCCTCCTCACCCAGAGTCCTTCGCAGTCCCTAGTGAACTCCTGGGACTTCTGAAATTTGACTCCATTATAGCTCTAGGATTTATGAAGTGTATGTCATCTCCCTGGTTAGGCTTGAGCCTCCTAAGGACAGAGACCAGGTTTTTAATTCTCCGGGAAGAACACATCAGTGGTTTGTATCAGTGCAAGCCTTCCACTTGAAGAAAGTCTCTGCTCTCGGCCACAACTCTCTAAAATGTCCACTGACTGGGGTTATCTAAAATTGAAGAAGGTAAGAATGATTAAACGAAAATCAAAAGGGGTTTCACTCATATCTTGTTTCTTCCCTCCTCTAGAAGAAACAACGTCATGCATGCCCTCTCTTCTCAGCCCTGCCTGGTAGGTCCCAAGAAGGACTTCCTTGTTCCTCTTCCCTTCGGTCCCAACAAATATCACCCAGCATTCTTCTTTGAATCCATTTCCTAAAATCTAAACTAGAAATAAATTTAAATATGTGCTGATAACCCTTAACATTTAAGTATTACTATCTTTCTTCTTGACACCATTTCCAAACAAGGGCTGGAGCCAGGAGGCCCAGCAGCCTGAGCAAACACGCTTTAAGGAGGGTTCTTTCCTCCTGTGGCTCCGGTGTTTCTCAAACCCTCTTAGATCTGAAACCCTGGGAGTTTTCCGCCAACCCAGTGCCCTCTCCTTTAGACTGGAGCAACTAAGCCATAGCCTCCTTTATGTGGGACAATGTGGAAGCCTTGTCCAGGGGCAGGTTTTGGACAAGGGAGAACTGCCTCTTCTTGATCCTGCTCTGCTTCTGCCCTGGGTGGTTACAGAGCCAGAGGGAGTTGCAGACGGTGTGAGGACAGGGCCATTCCTAGGCACAACACTACAACTGCCAAGGATGGGAGGAGGGAGGGAGGCAGGGAGACAGACGCGCCATTCCTAGGTACAACACTACAACCGCCAAGGATGGGAGCGGGGAGGGAGGCAGGGAGACGGAGCATGTGATCCTCTCTTCTGCCGACCCCTAGTAGTCACTTTCCTGCCAGATACTTAGCTAGAGAGACTCACTGAAAGGTATAAGGAAATCCAAAGGAGAGAACGATACGAGGAAGAACTCACATCACACTAGGGGGTGGAGAGGTGAGAAGGAGTCCGGGAGGGAGCGAGTACTGCTGCCAAGTTATCAGTCACCTTCTTATGTTCTTAAGAATACTTCATTTCTTTTGTTTGGCCAGTTGTACCTCCCAGATTTCCATAAAGCACATGGTCCGATTTGTTACCTAACAACACCAGCCTCACCTTAACTGTGCTTGCCCTCTGATGGGAACACCGGCCTGGGATTAAAACACCAGCCCCAATACCTATGCTAAGCCATCCCAAGAAATCAGGAGACTGAATAGGAACCTTCTAGATGCTCTCCAAGTGACTTACAGCAGCACCGACGATGGCAATGAGAGTTCTAATCTCTTCCTTCCTCCTGTTGCTGCTACTCATGCTGATGACGGTGGCCTCTAGCAGCCCAAATCCAGGTAACTAAGATTAATTCTCTATGAAGGGGACAAAAGAGGCAGGAAAATGTGGCAAAACACATTTAAAAGGAGTCCCTTTTAGCTACAGGGATTCAGGGCAAGTTAGCCTTTACCAGTGCCCAGTTTCCTCATTCACAAACAGGAGAAAACTGTACTTATGCCCAAAAGGTCTTGTGAGAGTTACATGAGATAGTGTATGTGAGAGGGCCTACACCTGTAGCTGCGAACATAGATGTGTGTGTATATACCTGTGTGTGTGTACGCCGGAGCTCAACAGAGATTTTCTCCCTTCCTTTTCGGCAGTCTCTTTTCCGGAAGAGCAATGAGTTCTCCCCGGGTCAGACTTGGCGATGGCAGTGGCAGGGTGTTGAAGACAACTGTATTCATAGGAGATAAGGAAGTTCTTGCTTACACTCTATTATTATTATTGCCAGAGGGCAATGCATGTGCTCACCAGAGAGACAGACAGAGACAGAGAAGGTATCCCCCCCCCCCCAATGCAGCATGATTATACCACGATTCTTTTTCTTCCATTTCCCTATCCGGTCAGGATTTTGGAAATGCACACACATGCATCAGGTGTGTTTTTTCAAGCTGCCGAAGCCAGAAATTGAACTGCAGTTCGTCATGTGGGATCTGCCTCCCCACAGGGCTTCACTGCTATATGACCTGACTGGCCCCTTGCTTGTGTTCTTTGTAGAGGACCAGACAAGCCACCAACAGCTTTTAATGCTATTTCATGGTAATGTAACAAACTAGAAAAATCCTGTCACTGGGTAGTACCAGTATTTGTAGCCTTAACCACCTCAAGCCCTGTCGTGACGGCGTCCCCTTGGGGAAGCAGACCTTTGGTTAGGGGTTAAAGGTTTCAAATCTGCTCTAGTTTTCACTTTAGCCAAAGTGGCCCAGCCCTTGACAGAACAGCCATGCAGAAGAGAGTTCCTCCCCATGTGTCTTTCTACTTGAGAACTCTATCTCTATTTCACTTCGAGGTGAAAGAACTTTGTTATAAATTCAGCATCAACTTGGTCCTAAAATCAGAAGTTCACCCTGCTGCACTCTAATTTCAAACCGCCCCTCCTTTGTACAGTTCTCTGGAAGCTCCAGAGTCGTATAGTCCTAGGGTCTAGACCATCATTCTAGAAGGGAAATATTTTTTTTTTTGAGAGGTTTTCGCTATAGGGCACGTGTGCTCACAGACAGAGAGAGACATAGAGAAAGCGAGAAATCACCCCCCAGGGGGCATGGTCACGTCACAATCCCTTCTCCTCCATTCTCCTCTCGGGATCTTGGGCACACACGCACACGCGCCCGGTGTGAGCTTTTTTGTTTTTGTTTTCGGTTTTTTTTTTTCTTGTTTTGGAGAGGTTTTTGTTGTAGGGCGCGTGCGCTTGCCAGACAGAGACAGAGAGAAAGAAAGCGAGAAATCACCCCCCAGGGGGGATGGCCACGCCACAGTCCCTTCTCCTCCATTCTCCTCTCGAGATCTTGGGCACGCACGCACACGAGCCCAACG